GAATATTCCCACAGTCTTCAAGTCACCTCTTGGGAAGGGAGAGAAGGTGGGGTTCAGATTAGGGGGAAGGGGTGAAGATAGGAACAATACAGCAGGGTGGAGTGGAGATGGGAAGTGTAGTCTCAGCGGGAATTTCTCCAGCTCATTGGTCCCTTTTCTGTTTCCCTTTCATTATTTATTTCTCTGATCTGCTATTTTGCCTCTCTTAACATTCCAGCTTTTTTCCAATCCCTTCTACAGCTTCATCATCCACCAAATATGCTTTTAAAACTTGTGATGTGGGGGGGGGGGGGAATCACACTCTAAGCAATCCACACGGTCACTGTACAAACATCTGTGAAATTGCTCCAGTGGTTGCTTGCAGGGTAATAAATCAGCTATTACATACATTCCAGTGGAGGCAAGGTGCAGACTGAACATCATAAACTATGATGTAATCTCATGCTCCATGAAGGATGAATTTGGTTCACACTTCAGCACTCATTTGAGTATCTGGGCTTCAGCTCTTCAATGCAGTACTCCTATCTTGGGGGTGTGTGTGTGTGTGTGTGTGTGTGTGTGTGCGCGCGCGCGCACAGCCACTGACAAGAAGGTATATTGGGGGATCCCCATATGAGGGGAAAGGGGCCTGCTGGCATGGTGGACAAGGGGGAAAATGAAGGTTCACACAAAGCACCTGCCATGGAGCTGGAACGGGGGACCCTGCTATAGGGGGAAGGAGAGAATGGAAGTTATATAAACACTTGCCACCGGGAAGGGGGAAGAAGGAATAGGTGTGCCCAAAAAGCCACTAGCAGGTGGAGATTGTGGGGAGTTTCAGGGAGTCCCTGAAATAGAGGGGAATGGGAGAGGGGTGCCTAGGGAACTCGTCGGAGGGAATGGAGGGATGCCAGGAGGCCCTGGTGTATGCGATACACTCGGCCTACCAAAGCGAATAAGTGTGCAAACCCCTACTAAGATCAGAAAGACTCTCAGTGACTGCAGCGGCCTTGGTCCTGTCTCCATCTCACCCTAATTAAAATAAACCATAGCATTAACCCAGGGCCAGCCTCACTCTCTTTGTCCCGCTCCCCAGTTCTGCTCCAGTTTTTCTTAGGCACACACACAGGTTTGAACTTGGGGGTTGTTTGGGGGGAGGAAATAAGTAAGTTCCCTCAATCTAATATCTCAGCCCTTGTGAAGAAGATGACTGTGATGTCCGAAATTTACCTTTACCCCCTCCCGTCACACCGCTATAGCTATATTTTATACATTACCTCTGGTGCACGCAATACATTTTAGCACAAGATCTCTATGGATACATCTGCCCTTCTGTTCTAATTAGAAAGGGGAACTTTCCGTTCTGAGCCTGAATTGAATTTACACTGAAGTTTATTGACACCCAGATAAAAGCTTCTGCCCAAATTGTGTAAATAAGCATTAATGGCAGAGGTGAAGGTAAGCCGGTACGCTGTGCCGGACCGTACCAGCTTCCCCAGGCCAGCGATTTAAAGGGCCTGGGGCTCCCCACAGCGGCCGGAGCCCCAGGCCCTTTAAATTGCCACCACAGCCCTGCTGCCAGAGCCCCTGGGTGGCGGAGGTGGTGATTTAAAGAGCCCTGTATATAACCACCACAGCCCCCGGCTGCCACTGCTACCCCAGGGGCTCTGGCAGCAGGGCTCAGGCAGGGATTTAAAGGGCCTGGGGTTCTGGTCGCTGCTGGGATTTAAAGGGGCGGTAGCGGCGGTCAGAGCCCCGGGCCCTTTAAATCTCCGCCAGAGCCCCAAGCCCCGGGGTAGCGGCGGCAGCTCCTGGCGGTCCGTCAGCAATTTAAAGGGCCCGGGGCTCTCCTGCGGCCGGGAGCCACTGGCCCTTTAAATCACCACTGGAGCCCTGGGCTGCCGCCATTACCCCGGGGGCTCCAGCAGCGGGGCTCAGGCAGCGATTTAAAGGGCTTGGGGCTCCACTGCAGTAGTGGCAGCTGGAGCCCCGGGCCCTTTAAATGGCCCCCTAGCCCCGGGGCTCCCAGCCGCCTCTGCAGCTGGTAGCTCCAGGGGTGATTTAAAGGGCCTGGGGGTCCCTGCCGCTACCACAGCTGGAGCCCTGGGCCCTTTAAATCAAGACTTAAAGGGCCCGGGGATTTAAAGGCCCCGCCTCTTCGGGTTGAGGCCCCGCCCCCCGCTCAGGACTCCGGAGTACTGGTATGTCTTTTAAGTTACATTCATCCCTGCTTAATGGGAACGAGAATCAGACCCTTTGGATGTGAATTGCATTCCCTGGTGATGAGGGAACCTGCAGCTGCCAAACTGCTGTCTTAAAGGTTAAAATTGTTTGGTCTTTGAAACAGGAAAAAATAAAAAACCTTTTCATTTTCCTGGGACCCATCTGGTTCTTTAACACTTGCTTAATTACAGGGCACTTTATACAAACTTTCATCAAGAATATCAAAAAGCAAAGTGTGCCCACAGGCTAATCCACATTTAATTTTTTCCATTACAAAAGTTAGCAAAATTGTCATTTTAACCAACTACACTAGATCTAGCAAAAAAATGCATTCAATCCCCCTTGAAAAAACTATTGTATTAACCAGATTAACATATGCACAGGGCACACACCTCTATAACTAATTCCATTATTGTGGAAAACCCTTACAATCACAGTCACATGAGCATTGTTATTCAGAACCGCGTCGGTGTTCATAGCTGAAAGAAGAGTCATTTCTCCATAACCCATGCTGAGCCCTGGGAAACAATGAGGCACCCGTGGTTAAAATGAAGAAAGTCTGGGCAAATTTTGTCCTCTGTGGTTTCACTTCCTTCTTGCATCTTAGTTTAACGACAATATTTGGTGAGCTGGCCTTCTGCTGCACAATATCAAGAAGTTTTAGCGAGAAATGTTATTTCGATTTGCTTCCGTCTTCACCACCATGTGCAACTTCCACTGAAGACGAGTACTAAGAACAGTACAAACCCAGACTGTTGCCTTTTAGTTTTAGGAGCAGCATGTCTTCTGCATGTAACAAACAAGTACAACAGAGAAGGCCCACACCAGAGGTTTCTTTAACTTTGCAGAGGAGCCGAAGACACGTGCAGCAGCAATAGCAACTGGTGTTGAGCAGCTCAGAAGATTTATGGAGAGGAAAGGAGAATTCAAGAAGGAATATGTGAAGGAGCTGCCCATGTTTGGGCCTAGCGCCATTTTGCAAATGAATTAGAGGCAGCGAGTCAGGATGGTGGGATTCTCCGGCTTGCTCTGCCTTACTGCGTCCTCAGAAAGTCACACTCTCTGTGCCTCTGGTCCCAACCATAACATAGTTCTTCTCTCCATCACATGGGTCACGCGAGGCTTAATCAATGTTTGGAAAGTGCACTGAGTCTCAGATAAACGGCAGGTTGAAAACTAACATAAGGACAGTGCTTAATTTGTAATGAAAGAGGTAACTGACAGGGCAAGCCCAGAGGTGACAGGGCTCTGAACTGCCAAGCCCAGAGGTGACAGGGCTCTGAACTGCCAAGCCCAGAGGTGACAGGGCTCAGCCCTGGCACAGATTAAGCCCTGCATAAGGAAATACTTCTCCACACAATGCACAGTCAGCCTGGGGAATGTATTGTGGGGGGATACTTTTGGCTTTCACAACATAACTGGGTACATTCATGGGGGATAGGTCCATCAATGGTTAGTCAAGATGATCAGGGATGCAACCCCAACCTTCGCGTATCCCTAAACCTCCAACTTCCAGAAGCTGGAACTGGTGGACAGGGGATGGATCACTTGAAATTACCCTGTTCTGTTCATTCCCTCTGAAGCATCTGGCACTGGCCACTGTCAGAGACAGGATAATGGGCTTGCTGGACCATTAGTCTGATGCAGTATGACCGTTCTTATGAATGCACTAGAGAAGCACAATTATCCGTCACTGTATTCTGTCCAATATAAAAACTACTGAGTCGGTAGTAATTCTGTGGGTCCTCTTTTTTTGTTGTTGTTGTTGTTGTTGTTAAACCTATCAAGAAAC